TCACATTTTCCTGGTTTCAGGCCTGGCACTTTATCCACTGTGCCACCTCGCTGCAAGTAATGTGAAATAAGAATTTATAAATTAAAAAAAGAAAAGGAAATGATACTTCTCAGTACGCTGGTAGATCATGGGAATGCTATAGCCATAGTTTATATAAATTTGGGCAGAAATTTGACAGTTTCTGATGCTATACTTGTGGAAAAGATAAAAATACATGAACCAGATGATAGCAAAGTTAGGTGACTGCAGAACTGATTGAATGACCAGACTCAAAAGGTGGTTATGATTTAATATCAGCTTGGAAGGAGCAACTCCCCAGGAATATATGCATGAGGCTGTGATGTTTACTGGGTTTGTTGTTGTTGTTGTTGTTGTTTTGTTGTTGTTGTTGAGTTGGGTAAAGGTATAGATGGCATGCTTATCAAATTTGCAAATGATACAAAGCTAGGAAGGTTAGCCAATACACTGGGATAGTCAGAACCCGAAAATATTTTGATAGGCTAAAATGTTGGTTTGACTATAATTAGGTGATATTCAAGTAGGATAAATGTAAAGTCTTACACTTGGGTTCAAAAAATCACCTTTACAAGTACAGGATATAGGAGGCATAATTAGGCTAGTTTTTTCTATAAAATATCTAGGGGGCAGAGGGAGGAGTATTGGATTCCAAACAACATAAATCAGTAGTGTGCTGGAGGGAAAACAAACAAACAACAAAAAACACTAAATCACACTTGAAATGCATTAAGAGAGACATAGCTCCCAGAAAGAAGGTGATGTTACCACTATACTCTGTCCCAATTACACTACATTTAGAGTATTAAGTTCATCTTTGGACACCACAGTTTAAGAAATATATTTTAAAAATTTGAGAGTGTTCAAAGGAGGCAAAACAGAATGATTAGGCATCTTGACCTAGTGACATATGAGAATTAGTTGAAGGAATTGAGGATGTTTAACCTGGAAAAGAGAAGATTTAGGGGGATATGATAACTATCTTCAAGTAATTTAAGAGCTGCCGTGTGGAAAAGACTTTGGACTCTTTTTTGGTTTGGCCCTAGAGCAAAACCAGGAGCAATGATTACCAATTATAAAGAGACAATTTAGACTTCATGTCAGGAAAAACTTCATAACAATTAGAACTACTTAAAAGTGTAATGGATTATCTCTCAAGGTAATTGGTTACTCTTATTGAATCCATTCAAGAAAAAAAAATTGTAAAAGGGATTCCTTTTTTTTAGGTATAAATTGGACTTTCTGGACACTGAGGTACTTTCCAAGTCTCACTGATCTTCCAGTCTCTGCTTGAAGTCACCCAGTGAGAAAGAACCTATTAGCTCCCAAGGCAGACTACTCCATTTGTTAATCATTCTAATTGTTAGGATTCTTCCCTTTGCAACAAACTAAATTTATCTTTTTACCACATCCACCTACCACTTCTAGTTCTGCCTTCTAGGACCAAGCAAAATGTGGTCAAAGTTGATATAACCCATGAATAATTTTGCATCCAATCATTCAACCAGTTCTGTGTGATTTCATCCATCTCCTTTTTTTACTTTCCCCTAACACAAATATAAGCTCTTTGAGAGTATGTATTGTTTCGTCTTTCCCCCAGGGTCTATTACAGTGCCTGGGCCATAGTAGATGCTTAAAGATGGTGTGAATGGAATAGAATACTAACATGCCATAAAAAATTACAAAAGGGAAGCTTCAGAGATAACTGGAAGGACTCATATGAATTGATGCAGGATCATTAACAGATCCAGGAGAACAATTTGTATATAATGATTACAACAATGTAAAGGCTTCAAAACTATGATTGAAGTAATGACTGATAGTGAATCATGCTTCCCACCTTTTGCCAGCTAAGTGATGGACTAGAGGTGTACATTTTCAGACATGTTCAATGTGTGGCTTTGCTTGACATAGCTATATTTATTTTTTTTATGAGGGATGATGTATGTGTACGTACATACATACATACATATATATGTAAATGTATCTAAAATATGGGTAAATATTGTTATGGCACAGCTGAGGGACAAGTGCAAAGGTATAGTAACAATGATAACTTAAAATAGGAAGAAAAGAGCATTAATGAAGCATTCAAAAATATACACGAGACAATAGAAAAATATTCAGAAGGGAACATAGACCGAAAAAAATGCAATGTTTGAACTACCATGTCAAATTTGAGATAAACAACAAAAACAAACAGATCCAAACTGTAAGTTGCGGAGGTTCACATTTTTATACGTAGTCCTCTTCTTCTGTTTCATATATAGGGAAATATTCATGTTTGTTTATGTTTGTCAAATTAATAATCATAGGAAAGAAAACTTTTTTTAAAAGCTAGTTGATTAATATGGTGACAAAATTAGCCCTCAGCAGACTACCTGATCTTTAACATATAGATATCCTCATGTATTGAAGAATTTAACTAAATTGGATATCTTCTTTAGGAATGTACACAGCATAGTAGCTACAGAACTTGACTGAAAGATGGAGAACCTCTATCTCTTATTTGGTTAGGAATACATCTCTTACTCATAGCTATTAGAGGTACATGATCTGTTTCTCTTCTGTTTTTTTTTTTTACAGTATTGTATTTTATATTAAGGTCACTTATTCATTTAGAACGTATTGTGGACTGAGGTGTGAGGTGTTGGTTTAAACCTAATTTCTGCCACTGCTTTCCAATTTCCCAGCAGTTTCTTATCAAATAGGGAGTTTTCCCCTACGTAACTTATATCTTCCACTTTATCAAATGCTGGGATATTGAGTTCTATTATTTCCTAACCTCCCCCTCCTCCTTGTCTAGTCTGTTCCATTGATCTATCACCCTATTCTCTAATCAATACTAGATAGTTTGGATAGCTGCTGCTTTATAATTTAATCTGAGGTCTGGATGCCATTCCCCTTCATCCTCATTTCTTTTCATTATTTCCCTTGAAATTGTAGATCTTTTATTTTTCCAAATGAATTTCATCATTTCATCAAGCTCCTTTTCATCATTTGTTTGGTATAGAATGAATGGTATAGTTATTTGCAATGTGATATAGTTTCTCTTATAAAAGACTCTCTTTTGTATGCAAAGATGATGAGATAGATACTCTTTCATTAGATCCAATCTGTCACTGTAGAGGAGAGGAAAAGGGGGGGTAGGTTTTCCCAACAACTGTTTCTTTTTCATTTTAAATTGATAAATCAAAATCAGATGCAAGGAAAAGTGATTAAGAAATCTTTTCACTTCACTTTCCAAAGTTTTGATTGTGCACAGTACCTGGTATGTAGTAGGTATTTAATAAATGCTGGTTGCTGGACTGACTCACCTGTGTACTACAAAAGCCCATACTGCTTACTTGCTAAGAAATTTTTCTCTAAAAAACATGATCTTGTAAAAGAGGAAGTGTACAAAATGTTCATTCATACATGGAGAAGTAGCTACTTAAAGTAGGTGCATTCTATATTTATTCTTTCAGTACTCTCACATCCAGCTATGTTGAGGGACTATCCCTTCTCAAAAACTTAGGGAAATGGAAGTCTACCTGAATGTGTACTTGTTATTTATAGAACAATGCATTTACCTACAGAAAGAATTAGTTTTTAGCTTACTTTTATATCTCTTGTTTTGTCAATCAATGACATTAAGAATATAAATTAGGAAAAGCATCTAGTAAGCAGCAGCGTGGTGGGAAGAGCACCAACTTTGGAGTCAAAGAAACTGGTTTCACATTCCATCTCTTATTCTTACCAACTATGTAGCCTTGGGCAGATTATTGACCTCCCGGGACCCTAGTTTCTTCACCTATAAAAATGAGCACCTGAATAGCACCTCCTTCCACCAATCATTCATCATCACCATCATCATCATTATCACCATCATCATCATCATCATCATCATCATCATCCCCATAGCTAGCATTTATATAAGCCTCAAGTTTGCAGAGCCTTAACAATACTTTACAAATATTATCTCATTTTATCCTCACAACATCCCTGAGGTGTTATATGCTTCTCTTATTCCCATTTTGCAGATGAGGGAATGGAGGCAGGCAGAGGTTAAATGACTTGCTCCAGGTCATGTAGCTAGTGAGGGTCTAAGGCCAGATTTGTAAATTTAGGTCATCCTGACTCTAGTGCCACCAGTCTATCTACTTTATCTAGCTACTTTATCTAACAGGGAATTGCCTCAGTGAAGTAGACTGAGGTTGGATGACATCCATTCATTATCAGAGACAGGACTGGAACCTAGGTTTTCCTGACTCCAAGCCTGGTATGCTAGCCACTACAGCCTGTCACTTCCTCAAACCACTGACATCACGATAATCTAAAACTTTATCTCAGAAAACTAGTTTCCTAAGGTTGACTAGAGGAACAGAGAAGAGGTGAAAGTTGCTGCTGCTACTTTTTCCTTTCTATTTTGATGGCAGAAAACTTTGCTGGAGGTTGTGGTTGAGCTGTGTTTCCCTGAGCCACAAAGGTGTTGAGAAGACGGAAACATTGCTGAAGCAACATTGCTCCTCCTCATATGCCCCTACACAGGCTAGGGATATGCCAGGTGAAGAAATTATACTCCCTGCAGAACTATGCATGGGATCATTTCTATGGTGACTTCCTTTCCAGCCTTGGCTTTCAATGAGATTCTTCTTGAATCTCTAGCTCTGAGACCCAGAAGATCTAGCACACTCTCTCATCTTAATTCTGTGCCCAGGCCTTCAGTCCAGACTGACTTCCATCCTGGGGGAGCCTTCCTCTAAAAATAGGGGTTAGGCTCCACTGTCTTACATTCATTGGCCTGTTAAGTCCCCTACCCCCAGTGCCCTGAGGAAGAATTACCCATTTTATTGCTCACATCTAGTAGTTCTCCAAAAGGAGGAGTAACAAAAAAAAAATTTCAAATTTTAAAAAAAGGTACTCAATGTACAAAAACAATTGAATATGGGATGTGTAACTTATTACTGCACACACTAAAAAAGACTAACCATAAAACAACTTACCAGCATGAATTGAATTGACCAGGCAGGATTCAGGCACTTCACTGGGAGAGTGATACTGAAGCTTCATCAGAACATAAAGCAGTTTGTGGTATTGTTGAATGCTCTGCTCCAGACTCTAACCTCTTCAGACCACAGCTGCTTCTGTAGTCAACTACTCCTGCATCTGCTGCAACCAATCACTCTTCTTTTTGGACTGAGAACCTTTAGATGCTTCAGACCCAAAATGGTGTCTTCAGTACTGGACACCTTGAAGTTGATGCTTGTTTGCCTGCTCAGGAAAGGAAATATACTGAAAAGGTTGGCAGGCATCCAGGTTCAAGACTGCCTTGCTGAGTCCATGCTTCATGGGAAGAGGGTGAAGAGCATCAAAGCAGAGAGACATGGGGGGAGAACTGCAGCCAAATGGGTCTCATATGGAAACTGTCACCTCTTAAAAAGAACAGTCATTAGCTCCTGCAGCTCAGTAGCCAATAAAGGGATTCTTCATCATCTTTGAGTGCAAGCCTTTTAGCCCTCCATCACACGTGGTCAGAAGCTCGACCCCAAGTTCCCATAGGTTGACTGGAAGGGTAGGACTGAGTCCTTGTAACACTACTGAATTAGAACATGAATTTGTGTAAGGAAGAGAATTGATAAACCCCCCACATCTCAATTTTTCAGACATTAAAGGACCTCAAAGGCCCTACAATCTGAAAAGATTGACAAACAAACATTTAAAGCTATGTTTTTATAAATAACTAAAATAGTCTGACTTGAAGATGCATTCTTTTCTTCCAAGTGCCATTCAGACATTCACATCTTGGGATACAAAAGCACAGGTTAATAGTATATTCAAGTACTTTCTCTACACATCTGTTTTTGAAAAAAAAAATTGTTGGTTCTTTCAGCCAAACCAATTCTCATTTGAAAAAACAAAACAATTCTAATGGACTGATTTTCCATGCAATCAAGCAATCAATAAACAATTATTAAGTTCTTCCTCTGTGCCAGGCACTGTGCCAAATCTATCTTCTATTATTAAAATGTATTTTGTGATTATTAGAATATCGTAACTTCAAAATGAGACAGAACAGAAATAATATTTCTCTATAATAACTGTGTGAGTGCAGCTACCATTACATACCATACATTATATATTACATAATGCATGTAACATATAATATATATAGTATATATGTGAATACACACACATATGTAACATGTAAGAGAAGCAAAGTGGTTTAGTGGATAGTGTTGGCCATGGGTTCAAGTCCTATTTTTGCTGTAGTTATATCAGCATGGACAAGTCAAGTACTTTTGCAGTCCCTCTGTTGAGGCTTAGGGGTTTAGGAGTGCTGGGACCCCAAAATAAAAACTTGTGGATCCTGCCTGAATGAATTAGATCCAAGCCATCTTTCAGCCAAAGACAAGGTTTATTAGAACATCTGCCATATTGACCAGACTCTTAAGGAATCTAAGCATTTGTATCACTAACGCAAGTGGGTCAACTTTTAAGAATCTGAACCCCTTAATGGAGACAAGAGGGACCTTATATATAGAAACACTGTGGGAGGGATCCAGGAGTGGCCAAGTAGTCTGGGGTGATTGGAGGAGAGGTCTAAAGAAGATCTGGATGGGAGTGGCCAGTAAGCTAGGGTGAACAGAAAGCCAGGGATCTGGACCATGTGCCAAGGGAGAACGGATTCTAGATAGAATTAAGGGTGGAAGTGGCCAAGGACCACGTGGAGGTAAGAGACAATAGAGGGCTAGGTAGCAGAATTGGGAGATTGGGCATAGCCACAATGAAAGGCCAGTTGATAGGATTATAGCCTCAGGGGAAAGCCAGAGATTTGGCCAGGTGGGAAAGTCCAGGGTTTTTCCTTTTTGGGGTCATGATCCCAAAGACATGGTCTTTTCCTTTCAGGGGTTCAGATTCCATCCCCATTACATCCAGGCAACTATTTAAAAACACAAATTACAAACGACTTTTCCATCTGCATCGATATCAGTTTTGAAGCTAGGAGTTTCCTAATCCAGTTAAATTACAGGTCCAGACCTCCCCTTTCCAACAAAAAAATACAGCTCATTTTATGTGTATTATTTGTTGTCAGTCATTTTTTCAGTAGTGTCTGACTCTTTGTGACCCCACTTGGGGTTTTCTTGGCAGAAGTACTAGAGCGGTTTGCCATTTCCTTCTCCATTTCATTTTACAGATGAGGAACTGAGGCAAATAAGGTTAAGTGACTTGCCCAGGGTCATACAGCTATTAAATATCTGAGGCCGGATTTGACCTCAGGAAGAGGAGTCTTCCTGACTCCTGGCCTGGAACTCTATCCATTGTGCAACCTAGCTGTCACATATTATTTACTTATGTTCATTTAGATTTATCAGCATACATGGTCTTCACTGATTCCTTAGTGTAGTAGAAGACATGGCCTGACTCCAAAGGTTATATGGTCAGTCAACCAGAGAGCTGGAAGATGGGCCACATGCTACTTTCCCCAACATGGCCAATGATCGAGTTTGTCTCTCATACAACCATACCTACTTTTCACCTATAATTCCTCAATTCTCACCACTCTGTCCCCCTTCCTCTGATGTGTAAGCAACCAACTTCTATTCTGAGCCCAGGATTACCCCCCCCACCCCAGGACAGTTATACCAATCCCCAACCCAGGCACTCATAGCAGCAGCTACATAGGTGCCATTGGGGGGGGGGAAAGGGGGAACCCTGTCTCCATGTTCAACCACACCTCCCAGATCATCTCATGTGTTAGGTGGACCAGTGAATGGAGTGCTTAAAGACCTGAGTTCAAAACCAGCCTCAGACACTTATTAGCTGTATGATCCTTGGCAAGTCAATTAACCTCTGATTGCCTCAGTTTCCTCATCTGTGAAATAGAGGTAATAAGAAGATCTACTGAGATAAAATTTGTAAATACTTAGCACTGTGCCTGACACACAGCAATTGCTATAAAAATACTAGCTATTACAACTACATGGCAGCTCTTTGCTCCGGCTCAGCAACCTGTGAGTTCCTCCCTACCCCTAGCCCCTTTTGTTTCTGGTAGGACAGAGTGAGGCATAGAATGTGCAGGGAATAGATAACTTGCAACCTTCATTGCATATCTCATTATATTATTTCCCCCCCCCACATTCCCATAAGCATTCTTCTTCCAAATTTCCCAGTTATTGTCAAAGGCCTCTTCATCCTTCCAAATTACTCAGGTTTATAACCTAGATGTTATCTTTAATCACTTCGATCAACTGCCAAATCTTGTCATTTATGTCTCCACCCTATGTCTTATATCTATCCCTCTTCTCTCCATTCAAACAGCCTTAGCCCAAACCTTCACTATCTCTCACCTAAACCTCTGAATTATCTTCTGAATTAACCTCCCTGCCTCTCATCTTTCCCTTCTCCAATCCATTCTCTACCCTGCTGCCAAAGTGATTCTCCTAAGGTCTAAGTCTGAACATATCACTGCCCTACTCAACTCCAGTGGCTCCTTATAGACTCTAGGATTAAACACTATTTCTTCTTTTATCCTTTTTGATATCTAATTTTTATGTGTTAAATATATATATATATATATATATTTATATTTATATATATAGCTATTTGTAGCATAGTATATGAAAATAAATGTATACATTTTGGTGGTGCATGTTCAATTTTTTTTTTAAACTGGTAGGGGTATGTGATCAAAAAAAGTTGGAGACTACCACTTAAGTGGGTAGTTTAATATAAGAATGGGCAACATCCTTCATGCCCATTCTAAGTGATATGGCCATTTCCCAGCTGAGGTTGTAGGAATGAGAAGAATGTGGACCTGACACTATAAGACTTTTGACAATGCCTTCTACACCCTAATTCCTAGTTGGCAAGGCTAGGCACATCCAGAGAGTACAGTTTTCTAAACGAATGGGTGATATACTAGGTTGTGGCTAATGATGCCAATTTTAACATGGACACTGGCATGTACTAATTCCTTAAATGGTTGGTGATAGCAGAGGACTGCACTACCCAGATATAGTATTGTGTTTCAAACTGTTTTCAAACCTTATCTTTGCTTTTTGTTCTTACCAGTTTCCCCTCTCCATTGTTGACATTTTAGGACTAGGAACAGCTACGTTGCATTATTTGAGAGTAAATTACTATGGTATCCTTTAAAAAGGATTTCTCTTGTCTTTGTTCAGCTCCATATGGGCCTTGCTTCAGTCCCCCAATGTCTTTTTTTTTCCTTCTCTCTTTTGCCATCCCATGAAGCTGGTTTGTAAGGAATATGGGTTTGATGCTTAAGGAATGGCTGTACTCCAAGAATTCATCATTTGAGACTTTGGCCATTTGTCGTTAGGGACGTAGCTGCCACAGATGAAATCTGTTGAGGAGCTGGACAAAGCTATTTATAGACGCTTCAAACATAGTTTCACAGGAATAACTATGGGAGCAAAGGAGGGGAATGTTGCCAGAGTAATGTTTTCCAGACAGCCAGGAAGTGCCTTATGGGTGCGATAGAATTAAAAAATCTCAGAGTTGGAAGGGACCCAAGAGGTCATCTGGTCTACTTCATACCTGAATCAGGTATTCCCTTTACAACATTCTAGATAAATTATCAGTCTGCTTCTGATGGAAGATCTCTAGCACTCATTACTAACTGTGATAGCCCATCCAGCATAAGTTCTTAGATGTCATTTCCCCATATCAAGTTGAAAATCTGCCCTTGGTAACTTCCACTAGAATTCTACCTCTATAGTTCTGCCCTCTGGGGCCAAAAATAATCTTAATATGATGCAAACTCATAACGCATCAGGAACATTCTCCTAGACCTGCAAGCTCATCTTTAGGCCCACATTTCCATTGATACTGGCTCCTTAGAGCACTGAATGAACATGACTGTTATCCACAAAGGAGGCTAACATAAATTGTGTAATCTCATTGGCATAAGTACTCCCTCTACTGGTACTGATCACAACCTATGTACACCTTCTCATCCTGCTAAATTCTTGTCCACATCTTTTTGTAAATATGCCATAAAAGCCCTACCCAAAGTGCTAGAGGCTTCCTTCCAGTTTGTTAAGTATATCACGTATACTAATGTAGCTCTTAGACCATCTACTTCTTATACCCCAACTTTGGTTTTGTTTTGTTTTTTTCAAACATGTATATCTAAAATTGATAACTTTTAAAAACATTCCCCAACTCCTATTTATCCTTCCCTTGTAACAAAGTTAAACAATTACACACAACTAACCAGCAAAATAACAAAATCAAACAATGTGCACATTTTTTTTCACCCATAGTCTCCTATTTCTATCCTTAGAGGAGGGATAGGTATTACATTCTCTCCTCTGAGTTTAGCTTCTTTTTAGTGTTATTTTAATTTCTATTCTCTTGGTTTTATTTTCTCCCTGCCACTTAATTTCATTCATGTCTTCTCATATTTCTCTGATTTTTACATGCAATTGAATATGACTTCCTTCTACTTTTTTTTCTTTTCCTGGTACAGTAATATTTTATTATGTTAATTTATCCAAATTTCTTCAATCATTCCCCCAATTGATACACATACATTTTGTTCCCTTTTTTGTTTGTTTATTTTATTTTGTTCTGT